TGTGTGTGTGTGAGTGTGAGTGTGAGTGTGTGTGTGTGTGTGTGATTGGGCTGTTGTACCTTGTCCAGTGTCAACACAGAACTCATGTGGAGAGTTTAATGAGACGCTGAAATTAGTCATAGGGGAATCTGGACTATATGCAGAAAACAACTGATATGTAGCCAACGTGTAATTGCAGTAACAAGCAAATCCTCTCAGCCACACATGGTGTTAAATAATAACACTCCCACCAATTTCTAGGAAAATTCTGCAAACAGTAAGATGATCCTTTTCAAATGGCTTTCCTCCAGCATTTACTAATTACTGTGCTGTGCAAAGAGCACGGCTTTGAAAACATTGACCAGCAACTGGTAGCCTAATATTTTTTTTTAAATAATAAAGCCATTAAGTTATATTTTTTGGGTGAACTATATTTTTTATATCCTCTTCTTATAGGAAATATTTTATATCCTCCACTAGGGAGCGGTCATGTAACGCCAAGAAATTACTTCTATCAGGTTAGACCTGATTGCCGTAGAACTTAAATTAAAATACGTAGTCGCATATTTGACTTCAACATTGCTATAAAAATAACTGTACTATTTGACATTTCAAATAAATATTTTAAAATAAAATAATGAGAATAGACTTAATAGTTTAATGTAAACTATAAAATTGTAACATACCAGGTAATAGGTATTGATCACCACTAGGCTTACTTCTCCTCTATAGCGTGCTATAGTCTCAGGAATATTCATCATTCGTTTGAAAAAATCACTTTCGTCCCTGGGTGGGCTCGAACCACCAACCTTTCGGTTAACAGCCGAACGCGCTAACCGATTGCGCCACAGAGACGGAGTTATACACTATTGTGACGTCATAGCCTTTATGTATGCGTTATTGCAGCTCAAACATTAAGAACGGAAATTTTTGATAACCTGAGATTAAGAGTCTCATGCTCTCCGACTGAACTAGCCGGGCTTGCGACACGCAATTGTTAATAAATGGTTAAAAAAAATTACCTATTAATAACCCTACTCACATGAAAATTTTTAACGTTACGCCAACTTATTATATAACGTAATTTACAACGTACGTCTAGATTTCTACTAATGCACTTAAATATCCAAATTAATGCTATCGTTCGTTATTCATATTTACCTTAACTTACTTGTTTGTAATTACACATGCTTCCTTCTGCTCAGAATACCTGAGACCCAGACATACAAAGAGAATTGAGCTTATATCGGTTTAAGCGGTTCTAAAAAGAAAAGTTATCCATCCTAACAGTGAAAATAATCTAGTAAAGGTGAGCTCTTTTTAATCCACATGTCATAGTCAATAATTTACTGCAAAGACTGCTGAAAAAACCATGTGTGACAACACCTACAGTCCTGTGTACGTTTGAACAGGCGCATTTCTACAAATTTAACAAGTTACAGCAAATGCATACACCTCGCCTTTCTCAAAGTTCTCAAAACTTCTTCAATTAAAGTCACCGATAAACTGTATTTTGTGTGTAAAAACAACAATAAACTACCACATAGTATTAAAATGATGAATAACACCGTATTTGTGCAAGTGCAGACGATACAAACTGGTCTCAAATGGGGCCAAATGTTTTTACAACTCGTTTTACCTCAGATGTGTTTGTTGCAAAATCAACATAAATCTCACCCCGCAGACAATTTCATTGGTTAATGTTAGGGTGTGGGTTAGGGTTAGGGGTTAAGACTAGTTAAGTAGAATCAACTCACAGGTCAAAACGTCTTTCTGAAAATAAAAATTTTAGTAGACAAAACTAAAAGTGAGTTGTGAAAATTACATGAACTTTACACAGTGCGTGATATAAAGACTGCAAGTCTATCGCTCACAGCCTCTTTTCATCCGTGTATTGGTCCATTGCAGCTCATAGGATGTCAACACTGGGTTTGATGTATAAACTGGAAAACTGTATGCCCAACATGGGGCTCGGACCCACAACCCTGAGATTAAGCTCTACCAACTGAGCTAGCCGGGCTGACAGCCAGGTGTCCATGACCTCCTGAGCTCCACAACTAGACAGCATTTTTTTAAACCACAGATTAATAAAGAATTCAATAGTTTATATATGCAGCAGGCAGTGAACCAGATGGAGGAACCAGGAACTGACTACTAGACAATATAGGCTAACAGTGTGCTGAAGTCAACTGTACAGGCTATTAAAAACACATAGAAAACAAAGTGAAAGTAAAACCTGTCAGCGGTTGCATAAAAGGCTTAGTATTCCAAATGAGTCATTCATTGTTTTAAGAATGGTCACATCTTTTTTTTTTTAAGTCATTCACAAACAAACATAGATAGGTCTCATTTGAATGTGAAAAACAAGACAGATTACCCTTGGCTTACTTCTTGGTCAGTCTAGTTCTTAAGACACAGTCTTTATAAGGCTACATTCATGCAACTGGCTCCTGAGGTGTTTTCTCAGCTAAACCTCAGGTGATTTCCAAAGGACTGTCATGCCCTCCCAGTTAAACAGGTTGAATAATGTTGCATTTTAATAATGTATTAATGCATGTTTGGCTCTGCCAAATTTTTTCACATGTTTTTCAATTGTTTATGCTTTAAATGTGTTTTTATATCCTTAAATACATAAATATGCACTTTTTTTTAAGATATATATATATATATATATATATATATATATATATATATATACTTTATGTTGTATATACAAGTCAACCACCTAAAGCTGTCAATTAAGATTTAACATGGAACATTAAAGATTGTTAATATAATAACAAAACAAAAAAGATCAATACAGAAGCAACAGGCTTATTGGACAAACTACTCCTTTAAGACATTTACGTGTAATCTGCATGAATAAAACTAACTACAAATACAAGCAAGGGACTTTTCTTTAGGACATATGTGCAATATGTTTGCTTAGGGATTTAGTGTTGGCTTCAATGGTGTTTTTATTAGAGCAAAATACTAGGGTATTTCTAAGGGAAATACCATTCTGGCTGGTATAAGAGAAAGAAAGCAAAAGTAAGCTGCAGTGTGTATATATTCAGCAGATGCAAAGCAGTGAGCATTAAAAGCCAAGTGTGGAAACTACTGACAAGACATGGACATTATATCCAGCTATTTCACTGCTCTGGTAAGTTACTCCAATTGAATCTTGAACACTTGCAGTATTTTTTATACTGGACGATGGTAAAATGTGTAAAACAGCGATGAGAGTATGTAGTGGTAGCTAAAAGCATGATCAGATTAGCTAAAAATTTTAACATTTACCTTTTTATTTTAAGATTTATTTTGGGCCTTTAATTAATTTGATAGGACAGTGTAGAGAGGACAGGAAGCGAAGTGGCGCCGACAACATTTGACCTTTTACTTACAAAATAAAACAAACTTAAAGTGATAACACCTATATTGAAGGAACAAAAGTCATAACACTTTAGATTAGGGATCACATATTAACTATTAGCCTAACTAAGAGTTTTCCTCAATAAACTCCTAATAACTGCTTATTATTAATAAGGTAGTTGTCAAATATGGTCATGCAGAATAAGGCATTAATATGTGCTTTATAAGTACTAATAAACGGCCAATATGCTAGTAATATGCATGCTACTATAAGCAGCTAGTTAATAGTGAATAGTATTGAAAATGACAGAATATGAAAACCATCTTTAGACATCTTCAAACTTATAGCAATTACAGTATAATAAGGAAAAATAAATACAGGTTGCATGCACAATAGAATTTAATGAACGCTATACTTCAATCGGGGTTATGCGCAACAAAATTCTGCAACTTTACCTTCAAAGGAGATACCAAAGATAAGCGATGTCCATATGCAGATTGACAACAAAAATGTTTTTATTTATCGTCTTCTCAATAACATTTTGATATCAACTCTGAATAAAATGCCAACATTGAAAACAACTCACTAGGTTAGCTGATTACCTTAAAAGTCCATAGATATCGCCATAAGTGCATACTGCTGTTGAAACTTTCTCCAATAAGATGTGATGAACCTGTTTTATACTAGATTAGGACCCTTTTCATTCATATGAATATTACTTTAAAAAATCTTTGACTGGTGATGTGCTTTAAAGGTGGAGAAGATCTACTCAATCTTCTGGTGGTCGAGCAGCAGTTCAACACCTGCAAACAGTTCGACAGCCAATCAGAATCAGACAGAGCCATCAGAGAGCTCAAGTGAAAGTATGGTGAACATCCAGCTTATCCAGTTCATCCACTTGCAGCTCATTATGTTTAGTGGTTGTTTTGTACATACACAGTTAAATGTTAAGAGACACTTAACTGAATTTGTTCTCATGATCTTAAACGCCTTTTGATCTTTTGATTTTGAATAGTAGTGAATGAAATCATTCTATAATTTATTGCAGTCTGAAACTTGAATATAATATTGAAGTTAGTCAACATGGAATTGTAATTGACTCTTTACTTTCTTAATACTCATGGTCTTACTGTGCACAAATCATCAGTGTATTTTAATACACATAAAACAAGTTTGGCTTTAATCAAAAAGCATTGCTCATTTCAGATGACATCCCAGTCACAAAACCTCCTGAAACATGGGTGTCTGAGGTCCAGGAGGGGAGCAGTCCTGTACAAACCACTGTAAACTC